CGATCCTTCCGCCTCAGCCTTCCAAGTAGCTGGAACTACAGGCACGCGCTACCACACCCACAGGCACGCGCTACCACACTCAGCTAATTTTTTGACTTATTGTAGAGATGAGGTCTCGCCAAGTTGTCCAGGTGGGTCTCGAACCCGCAGGCTCAGGCAGTGCACTCACCTCAGCCTCCCAAGGTATGGGATTACAGGCTGAGCCACCGAGCCCAGCTCAGCTATTTTCAAGAAGTTACCTAGGAGTGGTCCCACTGGAGGGCAAGGGAATGAGCTCCTGACTCATGAAGACCCATGTTGTGGAATTAAAAGCATCCACCAACACAAAAGCAAAAGGCTCCTTAATGTAAATTATGAATGTCTATTTTTAACATTACACTCATATCTGTTTTTGCTCAGTCTCATTTTATCTCAAAATAATCAATACTTATTTTGTTCCACCATTTGTAATTAGACTACACTTTCTTCTCCTAAAATGCCCCAAACATTAGATACCATTTCCTTCTGGATGCTTGTTATAATATAGAATTCATATTTCTGAATTGCAATTTCACAAGTATTAACCAGGGACTGGGTGATAAACAGATTAGTAAAAAAAGGAATTCAAACAGAAGTTTTCTTCATGAGGCAATTTCGGATTAGGACAAGTTCATTACATTTGATAGATTTCATGTAAACCTTTCAAATTGTATGTTTTGAGTCAAAAAAGTAATTGTGAGTCACCCAGGCTGGAGTGTAGTGGCACAATCATGGCCTACTGCAGCCTTGACCCTCTGGGCTCAGGTGATCCTTCTTCCTTAGCCCTCCCAAGTAGCTGAGACTACAGGTGTATGCCACCACACATGGCTGCTTTTTTTACTTTTTGTAGAGGTGAAGTCTCACCATGTTGCCTAGGCTGGTCTCAAATTTCTAGTCTCAAGCAGTTCTTCTGACTCAGGCTCCCAAAGTACTGAGAGGTGGGAGCCACCGTGCCCAGCCACAGTAATTTTATATAGTAGATTCTATTGTAACATGGGTTTTTATTATGAAGTCTTTGATACCATGCATTGCCAAGGTGAGAAACTGAAAGTGTACCGGATTGACTTTGATGTATTTACCTGGTATTATTTCCTTCATTTGCCAATATTAAGTGCCTCTTCTGCTAAGCATCTTGCTAGGTGCTGGAAGTACAGAGTGCTGAATGAAACCTTCTAGGGAACTACAAAGTGATGCCATCTCCTTGCTAAAGGAAAACACGTTCATAATGATATTCCCAGAGAAATATTATATAAACATAAAAGTTCTTGTTTAAAGAAAAGGCAGCTCTCTTTTACTTACATAGAAGAACTTTAAAACTGGTAACACTCATCTGAATTTGGGAATCCTCTTCCCGTTTTCACTTTAACACCCAACATGTCAAAGGAAAGTTGGAAAGGCTTTTTAAGTTTCCTAGGCTACAGGCATTCCTTTAAGTGCATAGTGACTCTATATTCTATAACTCAAGAAATTTTGCTTCTTTCTTTTCTCTGCTTTTTTTTTGATGTTCATTAGTACCATAGGGTACATGATTTAATTTTATTTTTATTTCAAATTTTATAAAATATTTACTGAAAGCGAGTAATGTCAATGTGCTTATCTTAACATTAGAGGCTTCAAGCGTCATTATTTTTTGTGTGCTTAGGAACAGAGAAGTTTGGTGTGCCCCTTTGTGATCTGTTTCTTATCAGGCTTGAAGTTTCACGCTTAAGAATAATGTGGAGATGTATTGAAAGCCTGCAGACTTTTCAATCTAGTAATTCCATATTTAGGTGATTATCCAAAAGAAGTTACTAGATGCTCAGAAAATACAGGAGCGTTCATTGTAGTGGCATATAGTAGGGAAAAAATTGTGGGCAATTCCATGGAGAACTGGTTAACTTATGCCTCAAAAATATGAAAGAATCACATGCATCTATTAAAAATGATGTTCTAATAGAATAATAAAGTGGATGGGAAATAGTTATGTTCTATTAAGTGTTTTAAACATGTTTGTACTAAGTATGATTTTGTTTATACATGCATACACACACACACATATACCTTAAAAAACCCCAGAGATATATACAATACAGAAAAGAAGACCAAATAGATAAATAAATAAATAAACCAAAATGCTAATTGTGACAGCTGGGAAGTGAGATTATTATAGGGTTTTTCTTTCATACTTTATGTATGTTCCAGATTTTGTTTGGTGAAAATGTATTACTATAAGAAGATGTTTAGTTGTAAACGCATGTATCTATGTTTACAGAACTATATAGCCAATTTTGTAACAATACAATAAAAGTGGTTGTAAGAAGGCCGTGCTTCTCGGGCCAGTGGGACCTCTGCACGGTCACAGGCATTGAGAAGGTGACAGAAGGCAGTGCCCCGTATAGACTCAGGCCTCTGAAATGAAACAAGCACTGTGTGACACAGCCTTGGAGTGGCCGACTGTGAATCCTGCCATTCTCCTGATGCCTGCTGTCAGGCAGGCAGCCTAATGTGGAGATTGGTCTGTCCCTACGGCAAGATGAAGCAACAACTGAGAGGTTCTTCAACATTTAACTAATTATAGAATAGCAAAGACAATCAAAAGGATTATTTGGGCTAGTTAAAGTAACTGTGAGAAGCAAAACGTATAATAAACATATTGTTTCTTTTGTTTTCCAGATATTTTATCCAGAAACAACAGATGTCTATGATCGGAAAAACATACCAAGAATGATATATTGCATTCACGCACTGAGGTGGGGAAAAAATACAATTAAAAGACTCTCTAGGTCTCTAAGTAGATTTAAATAAAACTACGATTTCAGTTTTTAAAAGACATCTTAAGTTACTTTAAAAGGTTGAAGAACTTTTTATTAGATTTCATTGTTTTAAATTTACTAGCACAAAATTAAAACAATTGTCACATAAAGCCAATCCTTGAACTTGAAAAATGTTCTGATTTTCAAAAACTATAGTTCAAAACAGAAAACTCAGAAAATGAATGAAAGACCTTTAAGTATAATAAAGAGAGGATTTAAGTTGAACTTTTTAGAAATTCAGTTGTACTGTACTACTATATTCTTGAGTTATAGTCTAGTTTACAAATATAATGGAAATACATCAAAGGAACAGCTTTAATAGTCATTGTAATTTTGACTTAATGTACTTAAAATTATAATGTGGTTCATTTATCATAGATTAAGAAAATCTAATGTAATGATGGTTTCTTTTGACTTTTGTTTAGTAGAATTTGTACCCAAAGTTGCTATAAATTAGTCAAATCAAGACACATTTATTGTTTTAAAACAATTGTTTGATAACTTAATTTTTGAAAATATTGAAATTCTTCCAGTTCACAGATTATATTTTATATTATTGGCCTAGAAGAGATGTGATGTTTTTGTTTGTTTGTTGGTTGGTTGGCTTTTTTGAGTCAGAGTCTCATTCTGTCACCCAGGCTAGAGTGCAGTGACACAATCATGGCTACCCAGACTTGACCTACTGGGCTCAGACAATTCTTCCTTCTCAGCCTTCCAAGTAGTTGAGACTACAGGCGCATGCCACCATGCCTGGCTAATTTCTTTGATTTATAGTAGAGATGAGGTCTTGCCATGTTGCCCAGGCTGGTCTCGAACTCCTGGGCTCAGGCAATCCTCTCGCCTCCGCCTCCCGAAGTGCTGGGATTACAGGCGTGAGCTATTGCACCCAGTCCAGAAATGTGATTTTTAGGTGGTAACAAAAATGGTTCTAAAAATTCCATTTGTGGCTGTTGCTTGTGTGCACACAGGTAATGGCTGGAAGACTTCATGTCTAATTACATTTTAAGTCAGTTTTAGAACATCTGCCTTGTGTTTGTATCACTATAAGTCATTTTCCTGGCAGAATACTTGGTCTAGAAGTTTATATGAACTTCTTCCTGGCTCTTTTCCCCTCCAAAGGAAAAGGTTTCTATAATTCATGGCAATGTTGATCTTCTAGAGAAGAAGTTTGATTATGTCATAGAATTTGACTTTTTCCCCCAGTCAGTACTTATAAGATTGCTTTGGAAGATGACAGTTGCTAGAAATAAGGATAGACCAAATGTAGGTGCCTTTGCTATAATTCTTTTTAATTATAATACTAGTGAAAAATACTAGTGAAGAATACTATGTATTAGAACAACTAGTGAAAAACTTCTGTGCCTACCCCTCATAGGTGGCCAGAATGTCATTATGCTGGCAGGTTTTCTAAAAGCTTCTTGTGCAAAAGCTCCTTTTTTAAAAAACTTTTTTGAGGCAAAGTCTCACTTTGTTGCAAGACTGGAGTGCAGTAAAATGATCATGGCTCACTGCAGGCTTGACCTCCTGGGCTCAAACAAGTTTTCTACATCACCTTCTCGAGTAGGTGTGACGACTTTTTTGTAGAGATGAGGTCTTGCTTTGTCACCTAGGCTGATCTCTAGCTCCTAGGCTCAAGTGATCCTGCGTCAGCCTCCCAAAGTACTGGGATTACAGGCATGAGCCACCACGCCTGTCCAGAAGCACTTATTTTGAGGAATATTTCCAACTGTGCTGCCCAATATTCTTCATCAAATATTTTCTAGAGCTTAGAATGATCCCTTAACACTAGGTCAGCACTGGTTTGTGGCCTGATAAGCCAGCTACCATTAGTTATTAACCATTGTCATATCCATGCACCATAGTGCTAATCTCCAAATCTCAGGCATGCTCATGGCTGTCTTGTGTAAGCTTCAGTTGATTTCCTGGAGGTACACCTGGGACATTCATGCTAAGCAGCTTATAAACAAATGGTGTGCTAAGTTCCTTTCTGCTGATGTCACTGTTCCTATAAAGGAGTTCTACAGAGCTGCACTGAGGCTAACAAATGTGTGTTGGCCACCGTTTTAAGAGTGGTCTGAGCAACTTGCTAAACAAAAAAAGCAACTTTTTGCCTATTACTGCCAATTATATATAAATACTGATGTAATATTTTCTAGGACTGTGTTTCCCAGTGATTCACTTCTCATCATGGCTGTCTCCATTTCTTTTGTTCTTCTGGGAGGGAATTCCTGTTGGGCCATGTCATTCACCAGATCCACCTCAAGTAGGACTTTTTGTCTTTGGAAGCAATACTTATTAGTAAATAGCATTTCATGGGAGAATATCCTTCACTCTTCTGTGTGCTAAATTATCCTATGGCTGCCTCTCAGAGAAATCCCAAGTGTATCTAAAGTTTCTACCAAAACCTTCCTGCTATGATTTAGAATGCAGCCAGTCACTTGAATGAGACAGATATTTGCTCTGTTGGGCAAGACACACTTGGATGCTGGGTAACAATTCTTTAACAAGTACCGTGGGTTTGCCCTTGTTGTATAGTTAGAAGTAATGCTGGAAATGAACAAACATGCCTTCAGCTTTTACACCCTGGTTGCAGTTACAGCAACTTTGCTGGTGTGGAGGGTTACTAATTACCTGGTAGAGAATCAAGCAGGTCAGAGATTCTGATTACAACTCAGGAGCCACGAGGGAAGTTTCTTCCAGATGCATAAGCTTGCCAGGCACTGACTGTTTCCTGCTTCAGCCTGTGGCCTGACTTCATCTGCAGAGTTAGCTCTTGGCCCTCCCCAACCCTGTCTCCTGTTCCCTGTTCTGATTTGAGCTTAATGACCTAAGACCCCCAGGGTCCTTTCCCCTGCTTCCTGCTTGTCTCTGCTTTTCCCTTTTCCTGCCTGCCCCTTGCCTTTTCATTTTATTTCTGACCCCGGTCTCATGTCCTACCATACACTGATCCCTCTGTCAGTTTAACTTGCTGTTCTTAAGTCCAATGACTGTCACCACAGCAGCCCCGGAGGAAATTCTCAAGCTCTACCTCATGGAGACAGGCTCACCTTAGTGGTGGGTAGCGTCATTCTTGTTCCACAGAAATGTTTGTCTTTGTTTGTTTTTTTTTTTTAAAGGCAGTGTATGCTCATTGTGGACAAAACTGAAAAATTCAGAAAGAATGTCAAAGGAAAATCAAAAATACCCACTATCTCAGTACCAAATGAAAACCACTATAACTATTTTGATGACTTTGGATTTCATATATGTACTGTGTTTTCCTTTCGTGGCTTCTTTTGAAATGTTACAGATGAAAGGCAGTGAAAAAGGAACCACTTCAAGAGCTGAAGGCCTTGCTAACAAGTTACTACACTGATTTTTTTAATGTATAGAGGTCTTTTATGCATGGAGAACACTTGTTGCATGTTGTTTAGTGCTCACTTTACAATTGTTAAATGTTTAAATGTTAGTTATAAAACAGAATCCTTTAAACAATTTATACAATTAAATTTACTAGAATTGATTTTTTGAAGACTTCAGATTTAGCAGGTAAAATGCCCAGATGTATTATAAACTTACCACACTGAAACCTTTCCTGAAGGATCCATACCACAAGTTTCACCCCATTGTTTTTATTATTTATACACTAATTTTGACTTGTCCTCAAGCCACTGTATTATTTTGATACCTACCCAGATTTGGTATGCTTTTACCAGCACCAGAAAAAAAAAGAATGCTCTTTCAGATCTGCCAAGTTTACAGGTCTACTTTCTGATGGGTCAGTCATGAATGAGAACATGGCCCCACTTTGGTTTCTTTTCCTTAGGTGAGACAGCCCCTGCCATCAGGCATCAGCCTGAACTTGTTAAAAAAAGTCAGATCTATTTTTATTTCTAAGTACATGACTTTCAGGTAGGCTTTATTTACATTCTGGTCCCTGCCCCTTCTCCCCCTCTCCATCACCCTGAAATGATTTACTTCCTCGGTCTCACTTGACTAGAATTATATAATCCATTGTCCGGTCATAATGATATATTGGCCTGATCTGCTAACATTATTAAAAGCTTATGTATGCCTTTTAAAAATTAGTTGGCCTTTTCCTAGAGGTTTCCATCTCCCAGGAATTGAGGAGTTGGCTGTGCTCGGTTCTCTTTAGGTATCTGACTGATTTATTGCCTCAGATCCTGTTTCTGGTCTTCCCTCCACTTGGTTACTGAGTGTGACCACTGGCGCTGGGCCCTCTTTCCACCTGGCTGTTTTTGTCACCACTGATGTTCCTTAGTCCTTCCTTATTTTAAGACACCTCCACTTCCGCTTTCTTTGTCTTCTGGGACTGTTTGGCTTACTCAGAGTTCTTGGTCTTTATTCTTTGCTATAGTGTATATAGTATAAAAATATCTGTATGGAAACAGACATAGAAAAAACCAAAATACCCATGTTTTAATAATACTCCCAGCGTGTTGAAGGCAATGCAAATAATTATGCATGTCCTACTTTATCTCTTTTTGTATTACAACTTCCTTTTTGGACACTGTATACTATTCTCTTTTGGTTATTGTTTTGAACTCCTGGCCTTTCACAGACTTAACCAAGATTAATATCTTCTTTTTTGATGAACCAGATTGTTTCAGTCTGGCCAGTCAGAGCTCCCTCTGGCCAGCTCCTTTGTCCTGGCAGCACTGCCCTTGACCTTCTGTGAAAGGCCCTTGCTCTGTGGTCACAACAGGATGTTCCAGTCCTATCCTGACTATTCCTGCTTTAAGATACGGAATCAACTGCTCTTCAAGTCATGTTCATATTGGTTTTTCTAGTTTGACATTATTAGGGGACTGGATCCTGCTTTTCTTTCGGCCACTGAGATTCTCCTACATTGCCAGCCACAAAATGAAGGTGTGTCTGCCTCCCTCTGCACAAAAGTGACAGTTTCTGCTGCAGATGATGTAGCTGTGCCCCAGTTG